GTTTATCATGTTTTTAAGGTTAATATCAATTGAATTACATAGTCAAATGCATGAAAACTTAGGTTTTATAGTGAAAAAGCATGAAAGTTAGATTGTGATCTAATATAAATTGTTCTTGCATGTTTTTAAGGTGAATTGATTGGAGTAAGAATGAAGTAAAGGACTTAGAGTAGAAGATTGAAGATCAAAGAAGTCAACAAAGCACGTTCTTGAAGCAAATTTGAAGTTTTGAGGAGCACGCTTAGTGGGCAATTAGAGCAAAAGCAGCCAATTACTACTGGGACTGGGAGAGCATGCTTTATCACTCTATAGCTCGCTAAAGCACGCAAATTACGCAGAAACATGAAAATGTTTTGGAAAGTACGCTACCATGCAAGATTCTTCTTTCAAAAAGCGTGCTCCAAAGAGCTTTAGCATGCTCATGCAGTACTTCAAGGTTTGTTCAACGCGCTAACCAATACTTTAACGCGCTAAGGCGATCCAACTTAAGGCCCCAATTTTGGAATTCACTTACGGCATGAAGTTGACACATATAAAAGGAGAAATTCATAATCTTTGAAATAAGTTTTGATAATTTGGAATAACTAAATCCTAACTTGGTGATAGAAGCAGATCTTTCATGCTTTGGAGCATTGGGTGCGAGTTAATTTCAAAAACACGTTGGGAGCTCTGAGGACTGACAACGCCATCAAGCCAATGGAGTTTGGGGAACCTTTATTGCTTTCTCTTGTTTTTGATTTCTCTATGCTATGCTAGATTTCTATGTAGTTAGGGGTAGATGGATCTCAATTAATTCTTTATATTTATGAATTAAATTGTCTCTGTAATTTCCTTTTTTATAATTGAATGAATTTTTCTTTTCTTAATGCCTTCTATGAGTTTGATCTTGTAGATTAATTTAGGGTGATTGTATTATAATAAGAATGTTGATGCATGAACCTTGTTTGATAAATTCATTATAATCCTTGTGATATAGGAATAGACATAGGATAATTATGCAATCGTACGATTCTTGATCTTAATGCATGTTTTCTTGAGGAATAACCGAGGAACTAGGGTTCTTTCAAGATCATATAGAATTGGGGTGTCAATGAATTGAGCCGTAATTAATTTAGAGTAATCGATTGACAATATATTAAGGGCAGATACATAAAGATTTAATTTATAACATTAAGAGGAAATAAAGCATTAATTTAGATTTCATTTTTCTTTTATTGTCAAAACAACTACCATTATTTACTTGTCTATTAATTCTGCAATTTTATGCTAGTGCTTAGTTTTAAGTTTAAATTCAAAGATTCTCGTAATTGTTTGTCCAAATAAAGCGTGAATAGTGAACTAGTGCTTGAACTCAAATCCTCGTGGAAACGATCTCATACTCAGATACATTTTATTACATTTATGACAGGTGCACTTGCCGAAGTCGCAACAACTTTTTCTGATAGCGACAATGTAAAAGAAAGGGAGGTACTTCAAAATTCCAACCTAGATTTTCTGATAACGAGGAGTTATTGGGCTAAGCAAATAACATTGGTGCGAGGAAGACTCTTTCTAACCCTAAACCAACAAGCAAAGAAAGATCAACCAGCGGATGAGCAAAAAAGATAGGTATTGTGACACAGAGGTGTTTCGAGTGTTAGGGGGTTAGACATTTCGCTACAGATTGTCCAAATCAGTAGATTGTGATGCTTATTGAAGCTTCAATCTATGATGAGGTCTCTGTCTGTTATAAATCCAAAGAAGAGCAAATCTATGAGTATCCACTCTATGATGAGGTCCCTATCTATGATGAATTCGATGAATAGCAAGATGATGAGAATCAAATTATGGATGCTCCGGTTCATGATGAGTTCCCTATCTATGATAAGTATGATAGGGAGCAAGACGATGATAATCCAAAGGCGGAAGAAATCCTTTACATAGATTTTAGTGTAAAGTCAAATTTTAGAAATTCTAATATCTCTCACAAAGATGAAGTTTTATCCAAAGATGCCATGGAGAATGATCCTTCATTCAAAAAGTCTTTAATTTGTAAGAAAAATTATGAACTTGAGCACAACGGACAAAGCAACCTCGTGCTCCATGGAGATAATGATTTAGTTTTTGGTAGAAGTTTAATTGGAGATCGTCAGGGGCAATTGGACTTGATGTTACCTCAGGCAGAAATTTTCTATGACAGATCATATACGCGATCACTGAACCAAACTACAGGCAATAGTCCTTTTGGGATTGTCTATGGGTTTTATCCACTTACTTCCTTAGAACTCGCATCATTTCTAGTTCTCAAGCACTTTAGTTTAAATGTAGATGAACATAATATTAGACAAGTGGCTTCAATACTCAAGAAGGGGGTGAATTGAATTTTATAAAATATTTTTGCAAAAAACCTCCTTTGATATTTTAACGCATATTTCTACAATTAAATGATTTATCAAGGAAAAATCTAAGTGTGGGAACTAGTGTGTGATTAATAAAATAAGCTAGTGAATAAATAAATACAATCTAACGATGAAATTTTAAGACTAAAGTAAAGAGTTCAAGGTTAGAGAAATTGCAAACTATATGTATCTTGGTTCGGTCACCACCACCATGACCTACGTCCAGACTGAAGCAGCTCGATCAATCTTTTTCACTAACTATCAAGCTTGAGGGTGCTTGCTAAACCACTACAATCTTTCAAGACTTCAGGCTCTTGGTGCCTTACAATTTCCACTCCAAATTTTCTTAAGAATTTGGTAACCTCTCAAGTACAAAGGGTTCATTCCCCTCTCAATTCAAGAAATCAAATAGAGGTGTTTAATAATGGCTAAGTACTCTTAAAGTGCAGATTATACAAGTTGAAGAACTAATAGGTGTATAACTTTAAATGAAAGATGAGCTCAAGCATATGTAATGATCAAAGTGTGTAATCAATGAGCAATAATTAGTTAGAAGGAGTAATAATGGTTTTGTAAATGATCTATGGTCGTCCATTGTTGATTACTGTTGATGCAAGTATATATAATGACACCTCCAACAAAAACTAGCCGTTTATAGCCATTGGGGTCCGTACATATCCAGATATTTCTTGGGCTAATATCCGTATATTGATATCCAGATATTGAAAATCCAATATCTGGATATTTCATGGCAGCACTTCTTTTGCACGAAATCTGGAATTCTTTCCATTCAAAATGGCTTTTATTACTTGGAACACACGTAATTAGGTATAGAAACTATTTCTAAGTGTTCAATTCATGAAAATACCTTTCCAAACCAATTTTGACATATTAAACCATTCATTTTGTCATTTTTCAATGCTTAGTGTTCAAGATGTATTCTTTCAAGTTCAAATAAATTTTCAAGATTGTGAACATGTGTGTTTACATTGTGCAATGTTGCTCATGTGCTCAAATTATGTTAAAAACTTCTGATGCACTTTTGACTTATTAAACCAAGGTTTGTAAGCACATTTTAGTCAATTATATGAATGACTTGAGCTCAGACAATGCTATATGCTATACACCTTTACATAACTTTCCTAAGTCGACTTAGCTTCATGCTTTAAGACTTGATGCTTGACGTTGCATTGCTTTCACATAGACTTGGATTCTTTTGGTTGTTGCTTCTTTTAAAGCTCTTGAATGTCCTTCTTTAAGTTTGTTTGTTATCATCAAAACTATGTTGACATGTCATCATCAAGTGTATCAACTTTGAGTGCGTGGCAACCACATCATCACTTTGATTCTACACATATCAAGCATATCAAAGAATTGCATTCACAAGTTCTATCTTCAATTAAGGAATTTGGTGATATTGTACTAGAAGAGTTATCACCAAGATTACCACCTGAAAAAGTTGATATCAATGAAGACGAAACAGATTCGAAGGCGAATCTTTTCCTAGCGGGGGAGGATGATGCACCCGAGCTAGCCGACTCAGATTGGGCTTAAATTTGGATAGGCAACTTGAAATAGGCTATTCATCACTTTGCCATGAGCATCAATAGTTTTGGGCTTTCCATAATTTAGGACTTTACAATAATTGTTAGTTATTTACTTTTTTGTTATTTCTTTGATTATGTTTGAGTGTGCGTTGATTGTGCGTTATCTCCTTTGATTGCGCATAATTCTTTGATTTTGTTTTCATTTTGTTTTGTTTTGTTTTGCTTATTTAAGGCATGGAGAACCCTATTGTTATTTGGTTGTTTTTGGTTAATAAAATTTAGAAAAGAAAAATAGTTATTTTCTCACAATCCTTATTTTTTTTGTCTTTCTTTCTGTTTAGTCAACGAGTTACTGCTTCAGCATTAGATTACATAAAGAGACTTATACATAACAATTTTTTCAAATGGTAATATCAATGTAAAGAGCTTACCAAAAAACCAATATCAATGTAAAGACCATACACTTTTTTTTATAAATGACTTGTTTGTAAATTAAAAAAAAAATTACATTTTGAATAACTAAGAAAAATATTAATGCCGAAGCAGTAATTAATTGGCTAAACAGAAAGAAGAACGAAACAAGGATTGCGAGAAAATACTATTCCTCTTTTCTTAATTTTATTTAACCAGAAACTTGCCACGTCTACAAACTAAAATTGCTATCTATTATAGCAAATTTACACGCATGACATTTTAAAAAAATTCACTACATTATATTTGAAAAATTATTTTTAGAGTATGTCACATTTGTGTCACTGTTCCAAAATTCTTTGAGGCAAACTTGAAAACAAGTCATCCTACTAGGTACCTGATCCGGGTAAGTTTCTTTCAGGGCCCAAGAGCCAGAGAGGAGTTTTTATAAAAAAATAATAATAATAATAATAATAATGAGAAAAAGTTGGAATTGAAAAAAAAAAAAAAAAAAAAAAAAAACAACAACAGAGAAGAAGGAGAAAATAAAGGCTGTCACCCAGGTCACCCTATCTAGCTTTTCTCGTGGTCGAAATGATTCTCTCTCTCTCTCGTGTCCTTAAATTTCAATTTCAAATGCATTACACACTCTCTCTCCGTGTATATATACCCCTCTCTTCCTCTTTCCCTTTCTCTACTATTATATCTTGTTTGTGTAGAGCCCTCAATCAGAGAAGAGAGAGATATAGAGAGAGTGTGTGTGTGTGCAAAGCCATCGTCTTCTTCTTGGAGCTTGGCTTTGTTTATCCTCCATCCATTTTCTTTTATCTCGCTCGCTATTTCAAGGTAATCATTTCCCTATCTGTATCTAACTCCCTTCATTCAGATCACTTCAGTTAATTTTGCTTGCACTATAGCTTTGCTGCAAAGTACTTTTCTTTTTGCCGATTGTTTTCCACTGCAATCTCTAATATTTATCCTTAGATTTGTTTAACAGTGCTCTATTTGTTTTTGTTTTTTTAATTATCTGTGTGAGATTGCTACCTACTTCATCAGAATCAGATCTGGAACTTTACACTTGCGATTCATAGTACTTGATCTGTATAACTGATTCGGGTAGATTATGGTTAAGATGCTGGTGATGCCTATCGCATACCACTCTATCCGGTTCTGGTCTTGTAAGACCCGAGATCTTGGAGTTTTTTTTATAAAATAGACATTTTTTTAAATAAATAAATAAATACAGATAGTTGTTTTATATGTATATCGGCCATCGATTCAATTTCGGTGTTAGATTTAAAATGATCCTGGTTTTGTTGATTTGTTGGCAGTTTTATTGTCTGATCTAGTTTTTGTGTGGGGATCTCTTTTTATTTTTTCTTCTTTTTTATCATTGTTTTTTTCTTTATAGAACTTCATTTGGTACTTTGGACTTTAAGATATCCTGAGTTAGAGGAAATTTAAGGTTTTAGTATATATCCTATTGGAGAAGCTTAAGATTACAAGTTTCGCATGTTCTCATCCTACTTTTATTCTGCAACATTGTGACTTTTTTCTATTTATTTCTAAATTTTAGCAGTTTCGCATAAAAAATGTAACGGATCGTCTCATTTGACTTTTTTTAATTTTTTTTTTTTATCTTCTCTGTTTTCTTTGAAACCCTCAATTTATCTACGTAATTTAAAGTAGATTTTATAATACTGATCTATTTCATTACCCTGCTTTCTTTCCATCTTTTGTGTGCGTGTTGTACACAATGTGCTTTTGCTGTCTCATGTACAAAATTATATTTTTTAAGTAAACCTAATCTTCAAGTCTGTAAGTTGCAGGGTTCTGCAGGTTGTCCATTCAAACTTGTTAGTACTGACACTCTATTTCATGCATATTGCAGATTAGTAAAAGATGGCCGATGCCGAGGATATTCAACCCCTCGTATGTGACAATGGAACTGGAATGGTGAAGGTTAGTACTTTGTAGTTTTTTTCTCAGGTGTAAGTGCATTTATTAGTCTTGATTTCATTACTGAACGATTTATTAATATATGGCCGGTGAATAGGCTGGATTTGCTGGGGATGATGCTCCTAGGGCTGTGTTTCCCAGTATTGTTGGCCGACCTCGTCATACTGGTGTTATGGTTGGGATGGGTCAAAAGGATGCCTATGTTGGTGATGAAGCCCAATCAAAAAGAGGTATTCTTACTCTGAAGTACCCCATTGAGCATGGTATAGTCAGTAACTGGGATGACATGGAAAAGATCTGGCATCACACCTTTTACAATGAATTGCGTGTTGCTCCTGAGGAGCACCCAGTGCTTCTAACTGAGGCTCCACTCAACCCAAAGGCCAACAGAGAAAAGATGACCCAAATCATGTTTGAGACCTTCAATGTGCCGGCCATGTATGTGGCCATCCAGGCTGTCCTCTCCCTTTATGCAAGTGGCCGTACAACTGGTTTGTATTTGTTTCCATCTGTATCAGTTAATACTTTTGTCATCACATCATTCTATCACTGAATCAAATCCTTTCTGAAACAGGTATTGTTTTGGACTCTGGTGATGGTGTGAGTCACACTGTGCCAATCTACGAGGGTTATGCACTCCCTCATGCCATCCTTCGTTTGGATCTTGCTGGCCGTGATCTAACTGACTCTTTGATGAAGATCCTCACTGAGAGAGGGTACATGTTCACCACCTCAGCTGAGCGGGAAATTGTTCGTGATATGAAGGAGAAGCTTGCATATGTTGCCTTGGATTATGAGCAAGAACTTGAGACTGCAAAGAGCAGTTCTTCAGTTGAGAAAAACTATGAGCTTCCTGACGGACAAGTTATCACAATTGGAGCTGAGAGATTTCGTTGCCCAGAAGTTCTTTTCCAGCCATCTATGATTGGAATGGAAGCTGCTGGAATTCATGAGACAACCTACAACTCTATCATGAAGTGTGACGTGGATATCAGAAAGGATCTGTATGGTAACATTGTTCTTAGTGGTGGCTCAACTATGTTCCCTGGTATTGCTGACCGTATGAGCAAGGAGATCACTGCCCTTGCTCCTAGCAGCATGAAGATTAAGGTTGTGGCACCACCGGAAAGAAAGTATAGTGTCTGGATTGGAGGATCAATCCTTGCTTCCCTCAGCACCTTCCAGCAGGTGATTGATTGTTTTATTACAAATTATCACTTCGGGATGTATCCCAATTAGATTGAACTCTAAAACATGTTTTGGTTTTGCAGATGTGGATATCTAAGGGTGAATATGAGGAGTCTGGGCCATCCATTGTCCACAGGAAGTGCTTCTGAGTCCAAAAGATGCTTTAATGGTGAGTTATATTTTGCTGTGGTTGCTTTTTTCGTGTCTGTGTCATGTCATGTGAACTTTGTTGCCATGGATAAGAGATGAGATAGGATCGTTGGAGGGTATATTCCGAGCTTGATGTGTATCATATTTTGTGTGCGGCCCTCTATATGTGGCGGGCACAGAGTTGTTAAGAGGCAATTTTAGCCTTATAATTCATTTATGCCTTCTTAAGTAGGTTGTCTGTAGCAAGAGAGTGATTGTGATGTTTATTTTATTTCCTTTCTCCCCCTTTTCAAAGTTTAACATTTGAAGGTTTTTCCCCCTTGGAACATTAATGTGAATGTCTATAGCTATATGTATCGAAAAAATTTATAATATTGTCAGTACGCGCTATTCTCAATTGAGCTCATACGTGAATTACTTGCCCAATAAATTAATGGTGCTTATCGGCTTAAGTTCTTTAATATAGAAAATGGCAGTGAGGTGTTATGCTCTTTCTGTTTTGTTACTTGGTGACGCCTGCAAGTAGTAATACTGTTACTGATCGCCAACTCTGTTCTTGGAAAGGGTTGGTTTACTTGCACGATCCCTAAATTAAAATGAGTACGAAGGGAAGGGAAATTGTCTATATGCTCTCTAATTTCGCAATTTAATAAATTTAATAGTATATATGATTATGCCGTCCACAACTAGTTTGGGATGAATGCGGTGTTGATGTTGATGATATGATTATGTAGTGTTACTTGTTTTGTTTTTAATGGAGTAGTATTGGAATTTCAGAATAGGCAAGAATACTCTCTGACCACCAAACCTAGGCCCTAGTTGGTAGACGATACAATATAAATGAAGAATATTGTCACTGTATGTTTAATAAATGCAAAGGACTGTTTAAAAAAAAAAGTAAAATGAAATCGGTGCGTGTAACATATTAAGTTGTATAAACAAACTATGAACGAATAGAAGTGAGAAGCCAGAATGAAGAATTTCACTCGTTTGGATAGGATTAAGATGAGAGAGGTACAAAAACACTGCAAATTAGGTGTGATGTATGTGGTAACCAATCGTGACCGTCAGATTGAGCGCTCACTAAACGCTCCTTCACTCCTGCGCAATAACAACCAGTCTTCCAAATTTCAATCTCCCCTCAAACCCTCATCCTCTATTATAAATCCCCCAATTTACTCGCCATTTCTCTTCAGTCTCCACCTAAAACTGCCTTGTAGAATTGAGTAATGGCCGTACCAAGCAATCGGTACGCAAGTCCACCGGCAAAGCCCCAAGGAAGCAACTTCAACCTTCAAATGATTTGTTCTGACTTGATTTTCATAGTAGTTATTGAGCATACGCTAACACAGTGGCTGTTCCATGTCCCTTTGCCTCCAGATTTTGTTGAAGTTACAAGTTGTTTTCTAAGCAAATATGATGTTTAGTAAACTATCCTCAATTTGGCTTTTTGACTGTACTAATGCGTTTTTTTGAAATATTTCATCGGTTTAGTTCTTTGACCAAACGTATTACCAGACTAATGTAGGAAGACGCACATTGGCATACAGATTGAAATGCTTACATGATACTCAAGAAACGCGCACATGATACTAACGTATTTAGACGCGCACATGGTACTAACGTCTCTGGAGGCATATGTGCATGTCTCATTTTTGTTATCACATGAAACTTGTATGTGTCAGGTGCATGACTAACCGCGTAGTCACATGATACACGTCTTCCTGCATTAGTCCGATAATACGTTTGGTTAACTAACTGATGGAATATTTTGAAAAACGCAGTTGTTAGATCAAAAAGCCCCTCAATTTCAAATGTATCTTCTTTTCAAAGAAACTGGGGCTTATGAAAGAAGAGATAATGAGTCTTTCTTCTTATATTTTCTTCATTCCTTCCTATTTTTACCTCCTCCGGAGCGAGTGCTGCCTTCTTGTATATGTGTTTGTAAAATTAAATGCTATTTTCAGAAGCTTATACGATTATATTTGATTTTTATTATTATTTTTAGTTAAAAAATAAATTTCATATAAAAACATGTTTATATAAAGTGTAAACATAAACTACCCGTTAGAGACCATAATAATTCTAGGAAATTGTTTCTGAGTTACCAACTCACCATCAATGAGTTGGAGATAATAATAAGCCTTCGGGTTTTACAAAATAGCAAGCAGGAAATTTGGTGGGTTGTGACATACGTGCGCATTCCGCTTGTACAGAAATTGAACTCAAGAAAATCTCAATCAACACTCGGGAAACCCTTCATAAATTCATCTAAATCACATAATAATACTAAGGGTCCGTTTGGATGAGCTTTTTTTCAGTTAAAAGTTACTTTTTTTTCAAAAAAAAAAGTACTTTTATTACAAAGTGCATTTGGATGGATGACGGATTTAAAAAAAAAGCAGAAGTCATAAAAAAAGTCAAAAATTTGTTTTTTCCAAAAGTTAAAAATTTTAACTTTTCAAAAAAGCAAAAGTTAAAAGCCAATTTTTTTTTCAAAAATAAAATATTTTTTAAAAACCTAATCCAAACACACAATAGTTTTAACTTTTATAAAAAGCACTTTTAAAATAAGTAGATATAAAAGTAACTTTTTTTAAAAGTTAATCCAAACACACAATAAAACTAAACTTTAATCAGAAGCAGCTCGCTTCAAATATTACGCATGCAAAGCATGTACAGCTGATAGTTGTTGTATATTTTCCTTGGGTGTTTCGTTTTCTCCTTGCTTCGTTAGCTCTACAAACTCCATAAGCTGCGTTATCAACAGACACATTAGAATTTATTGACGAATTCCAAATTTAAGTCAAATCAGGAAATGAAAAAAAAGCTAGTTAATTGCAATGAAGACATCCTAGAAAACTCACAATCCTTCTCTTTTCATGATTGTAATGAGGCGATATATTGATGATCACACAAAACTCTGTTTATAATAAAATGTGCAAGTTTGTAGTCTCTTACCGTAGTCCGAATAATGAGGTCTGGGGGATTCTTCTGGGTGATATTGAAGAGACATAACTCTTTTTTTTTGTGTGTGGAAATAGAGACATAACTCTTTGAACAGGGAAGCAAGACCAACACAACTTCCGCATTAATTATTAACAAAAATTAAAAGCAAAAACAAAAAATATTTTCTTGATCAAACATGTTCTAAGGTTGCAGTGGCCGTTGACTCAATTGGTAATTTGGTATAATCATGTCATATGAGTTATGTTGCAATGGCCCTTGGGTAACGCCTACAAGTTGTAATAATTGGTACTTTCGATCTTCAATAATGTTCTTGGAAAGTGTTGGTTTACCTGTTCTATCCCTAATTTACAACAGGACAAAGGGAAGGAAAAATGCTTTGCTCCTTATGTTATGGACCTGAATAAGGTCCACATCCACAAGAAGTCCAAACTATACAAGCTCAAAGGTAAGCACTATAAATAAGAGCTAAAGACCACATGTATGATTGATCTCTTTCTAACCCTGTTTTATGCAATCACACAGCGCGCACACACACCCCCTTTGGCTAAGGCCGTGACATAGTGTGTAGTGATTCACTGACTCCAAGATACCTAGTAACTAGAGAGAAAGTACTAGATCCAACATCAAATATCTAACATAGGGTTAGACAACTCTGTCTCAGGCAGAACATTGGCGCCGTCTGGGGGAATAGAGACTTTTCCTTGCGATTACGTGTTTTAAATCCATCGAACGAAATGGTGAGGGCAACGAGAAGTGGATTTCGACAACCCTCAAGTTCGAATCTCAGACATCAACCCATTCCCCCCATTAGGGAGGATCCATCAGGACAACGCATCGTCCAGGATCGTCAGCAGCAACAGATCTCGGATCCCGACGCGGTGCACATCAGTGATGTACATTCTGACTCAGCATCAACTCCAGTGGTTAACCCAGATGCCCCATATGTACACGGGCTACAACCGATTGGAGAGCAGGCTGTAAATGTTGTGTCGACGCCAAACGGTGCAACAAATGATCCACGAGTGACAGATCTAGTTGTTGTTGCAGTGCTGCGAAGAATGGAGGAGATGGAAAAAAGGAATGAGCTTCAGAGAGAAGAAGATGCAAGGTAGATTCGAGAACTAGAAACTCGACTCTGGTGAGTTACCAACTCGGACCCCGAACGAGCTATAACGCAGGTCATGACTGACCTGAGGATCACGAATCCACAGCAGAACAACAATGAGCGAACCCAGAATCCAGTGAGGAACGCTAATGGCCGACATCAAAGGGTTGTTACTAACCCGGTACGTCATCAAGAATCTCGGCGTGAAGGAAGCCGAGATGCAAGGGGAACGGTAAGGAAAATAGACCTCATGCATGATAGGCATCTTCTTAGAAACCCGGATGGAGGAAGAGGTGCAACAAGGCAGATGGAGAATAGCCATCCACTGGGTGACGGGCACCCGTTCAGGAACCCGGATGATGTATCCGGGGTCTATAGAAGGAAATACAATAGGGGGCAGTACAATGATAGTCCCTTCGTGGACGAGATTGTTGATGCACCCTTTCCAGAAAATCTGAATTTATCAGAGCTTCTCAAGTATGACGAAACGCAGGATCCTCATGTGCACTTGGATGCCTTCGACACGACCATGTACATCAAGGGGATAAAAAAACCTTTGATCACGCGACTCTTCGCAACTACGTTAACAGGAGCGGTTCAAACATGGTTTTCATCATTGCCAGCGGGATCCATCAGATCTTTTGAAGAATTTGGTGGAAGATTTTTGCTAAATTTTGCTACTAGCAAAAAGCAACCAAAGTCAGAATTTGCGCTAGGGAAGATAAGGCAGCAACCTGGTGAAACACTGCAGAAATACCTGGATCGGTTTAAAATGGTCGCCTTGCAGGTTCTGGGGTTGTCTGAAAACGTACATCTGCACCTGGTGATAGCAAGGTTGCATGGCTCTTCTAGGTTAGCCAAGTCCATATACAAAGAACTAGCTCGAACCTTGGTAGAGTTCACAGCGCGGTCAAAGAAGTATTTGGAGCTCGAACAGATGGAAATCGAGAATATGGATCAGAGGCACCATCCTAACCAAATAGAGAAACCCAGAAGTCGAAGGCAAAATGATTTTCGAGGTAAAAGACAAGATGACAGAATTTCGGTGAGGGGAAGATTTGAGAAATACGCACCCTTAAATTCACCTAGGTCGCAAATCTGGAGGGAAGTGGCCTCAACGGAGATGAAGAAGGTAGATAGACCCCGGCCTTTGCTGAATCAGACCGTGTTAGACCAATCTTGGTATTGTGCATTTCATGATGGGCCTGGCCACACTACTGATGAATGCTGGGATCTGAGAAATGCGATTGAAAAGTATGTCAGAGATGGAAAACTGCGTCAATATCTGATCAGAACTCAAGGATGGAAGAACAACAGGAAAAGAAGAGGAGGCCGGCCTATGAGCCCACCAAAAGAAAAAAGATTCAAGGAAGAAGGCCGAGGCAAGAAGCTGGCCAGAGAAGAAGATGAATTTGTGGAGCCGGAGTTTGAATGCAATGTGATTAGTGGGGCTTTTGGTGGGGGAGGCGACACCATGAATGCTAGAAGAAAATATCTGAGTGAGGTGCTTTCGATACGGGAGCGACCTAAGTTTAAAGAAGTCGAACCAGAGCCTTCACTATTGTATTTCACCAGGAAAGAGTTGGAGGATGTGATGCCAGGACATGTGGATGGATTACTCATTACGGGAACGCTAGTCAATTGCAGAGTTAAGAAGATATTTGTAGACAACTGCAGTTGTGCCGACATAATCCTATGGCAGGCGTTCAAAAAAATGAATCTGGATGAGGAAGATTTGTAGCCCTGTAACACGGCCTTGATCGCATTCAACGGCCTTAATACTATTCCCAAAGGGTATATTGATCTTAGACTTACTTTAGGAACCAAAGAGGCGTACAAATCCGAAAGGGTAAGGTTTATTGTAGCCGAATTCCCTTCGGAGTATAATGTGATATTGGGAAGACCGACCATCCACAATTGGGATATGTTAGTTTCTACCAAACACCAAAAGCTTAAGATGATTGGTAAGCAGAATACGGTGATTACCATCGCCAGAGACCATAAGGAGTCTCGAGACTGCTATTTCAAATCGGTTAGAGCGGTAGAAAGCGATCCCGAACCTTCAGCCGAGGTTAAAAATAGTAGCAAACAAGACGGCTCGAGCCAGGAGAAGAAGACTTCGGTCAACATGGTGGAATTGGATATGAGGGATGATACTCAGATGCCGAGACCTGAACCCGATGGAGAATTAGAAGAAGTGATCATTGGGGAGCAGGGACAAACTGCAAAGATCGGTAAGGTCGTTAAGGGGTTGACGGACAAAGTAAAAGTCCAACTTATCGCATGTTTAAGGAACATCAAGGATGTCTTCGCTTGGAAGTCCTCAGAAATTCCTGGGTTTAACCCTGCTTTCTGTTGTCACAAGCTAGCAGTGTACCCAGGATCTAGGCCAGTAGCTCAGAAGAAGAGGAAGCTCAGCCCAGAATGTTGGCAGGTGTTAGAAGATCACGTGAAGGAATTGTTGGAAGCAGGTTTCATCAGGGAAATACAGTACACAACTTGGCTTTCCAATGTGGTAATGGTTAAGAAGCTAAATGGAAAATATAGGGTATGCACAGATTACATTGATTTAAATAAAGTGTGCCCTAAGGATGCATACCCTATGCCTAACGTAGACCAACTGGTTGATAGTTCATCCAAGTTCCAGATGTTGTCATTCATGGATGCTTATTCGGGGTATAATCAAATTCCACTACATCCGGAAGACCAAGAAAAGACAGCCTTCATTGCAGAGAAGGCGAATTATTGCTACAATGTAATGCCTTTTGGGTTGAAAAACTCAGGGGCCATTTACCAGAGAATGATGAATCAAGTATTTGCAGGCCAACTTGGCAAAAGTGTGGAAGTATATATAGATGACATGATAGTTAAGTCCTTGGACTCAAAGGTGCATATTGAAGATTTAGAGGCAACCTTTGAGAAACTAAGACAACGCAACATTCGGTTAAATCCGGCCAAATGTGCTTTTGGAGTACCTGCGGTGAAATTTCTTGGATTTATGTTGACTCACAGGGGCATTGAAGCCAACCCAGACAAATGTAGAGCCGTTCTAGAGATGAAATCCCCCACAAACAAGAAAGAGATACAACAATTGATGGGAAGGTTAGGCTCCCTCACTGGGTTTTTACCACGATCTGCAGAAACAACATTACCTTTCTTTAAGTTGCTTCGAAAGGAGGTGCAGTATGGATGGACTTTGGAATGTGAAGCCGCATTCCAAGAGATTAAGAGGCAGCTGGCTTCACCGCCAGTATTAACCAGACCAAGAGAAGGGGAGGCATTAATAATATACCTTTATGTGGGAGATGTTGCTGTCAATTCTGTCATAGTACAAGAAAATGAGGAAGGGAAGCAGCCGATTTACTTTGTGAGCTGGCTCCTACAGGGAGCAGAGCTCAGATACGAGAAGCTAGAGAAGGTGGCTTTCGCCTTGTTAACCTCGACTAGACGGCTCAGAGCATATTTTCAAGCACACCAAATTATAGTCAGATCGGACTTGCCAATTCGACAGGTCCTTCACAAGCCCGATTTGGCAGGAAGAATGATGGCATGGGCTGTGGAACTGTCAGAATTCGACATAGTTTTCAAAAGTCGTAAAGCAATCAAATCCCAAACATTGGTGGATTTTATTAGGGAGCTCACTTCAATCCAAAGAGAGAGTTCCCACAGCTCGGATACTTGGAAAGTATATGTAGACGGATCCTCTAACTCCAAAGGTAGCGGAGCCGGGGTTATCATAGAGAACCCAGAAGGTGTAGCAATTGAATACTCCTTGCAAATGAATTTTGAAACATCAAACAACCAGGCGGAGTACGAGGCCTTCATAGTCGGCCTCCATCAGGCTAAGGAACTCGGAGCACGAAAGCTGCAGGTTTACCGTGATTCCCAGTTTGTCACCTCCCAAATCGAAGGAAGTTATCAAGCTAGGGGACCATTGTTGACAAAATATCTGGACTCTGCGAGACAGCTAATAGTGGAGTTTGAAAAGGTGGAGGTCAGTCATATTCCAAGGAATGAAAATAGCAGGGCTGATATATTATCCAAACTAGCAAGCACCAAAGGATGGGAAAACCATAGGACGGTGGTTGAACAGAGTATCCCAGAACCCACATGTATCATGCAAATATCAGAGGTAGATGATTGGCGCTGCATTATCGTCAATTATCTAGAAAATAGGACGTTGCCCGCCGGAAAGGAGGAAGCTAGAAAGTTAGTTAAAGATGGAGCATCATATACCATGGTGGAAGGACAACTTTACAAAAAAGGTATCTATTCACCCTTGCTGAAGTGCTTAAGCTTGGATAGAGCAAGACACTTCCTATCTAAAATCCATGAGGGAATTAATGGCCAGCATATTGGAGGTAAGGCCTTAGCTCGAAAGCAGTTAGAGCCGGGTACTTTTGGCCGACTATGAGTAATGATGCAAAGGAACACGTGCAGAAATGTGATCAATGCCAGAAGCACGGAAAGAACCTGTTGGCTCTCCCAGAAGAGTTAAGTTTAATCACGGCACCATAGCCGTTCTTTAAATGGGGAATGGATCTTCTGGGTCCATTTGCAGCGGCTGAAGGCCAATTAAAATGGTTAATAGTGGCCGTTGATTATTTTACTAAATGGATAAAAGCAGAGCCGGTTGCTACGATCACTTCGGCTAGGGTTCAGCGTTTCTTTGAGAGAAACTTGATTTGTAGGTTCGGGATCCCAGCCGAGGTAGTTACTGATAATGGAACCCAGTTCACAAGTAAAGCCTTCCAGGAGTTGTTGCAAACCTTTATATCCGGTATCGCTTTGCGTCAGTAGAGCATCCTCAAATTAACGGACAAGCAGAAGCAGCCAATCAAGTCATCATAGAAGGATTGAGGAAGAGAATAGAGCAATCTGTTAAAGGAAAGTGGGTAGAAGAGCTATGTTATGTACTCTGGGGGTATAGAACCACAGTGCAGACGTCTACTGGGGAAAGCCCATTCAAATTAACCTATGGATGTGAGGCCATGATTCCGGTGGAGTTGGGAGAGCCGTCATGGAGAATAGTCCAAGCCCTGTCGCAGACGGAAGAAGAAAGTAGTAAGAAAGTAGCAGTGGAACTGGATTTGATAGATGAAGCTCGGGTTATGGCTCATTGCAAAAATTTTGTGGCAAAGCAGCTTGTTGCTAACTGGTTCAATAAGAAGGTAAAGCCCAGATCGTTCACGGTAGGAGATTTGGTTCTTCGAAGAGCAGACGTTGGCGGACGAAACACGACTGAAGGAAAGCTGGCTCCAAAATGGGAAGGGCCATTCAGAATTAAAGAAAGACTGTCAAAAGGAGCTTATGTGTTGGAGACTCCAAAAGGAAAAAGTATTATAAGGACATGGAATGCAGACAAGGTGAAGAAATACTTTAGTTGAAAAGAAGTGCAAATTTAATGTTTCCTTTTTTGTAATTGGAATTTTAAATTATGAATAATCGAATAAAGAAAGCATTTCTTCTAAGAATGTTTTTAATTATAAGCCGAGGTAATTGAACCCATCTTGCCAAAGGGCAAGATCGAGAGTTCTAGCCAGGCATAAAGCCCAGGTAATTGAACCCGTCTTGTCAAAAGGCAAGAACGAGAGTTCTAGCCAAGCATGAAGCCGAGGTAATTGAACCCGTCTTTCCAAAGAGTAAGGTCGAGAGTTCTAGCCAGACACAAAGCCCAGGTAGTTGAACCCGTCTTGTCAAAAGGCAAGATCGAGAGTTTTAGCCTGGCATGAAGCTGAGGTAATTGAACCCGTCTTGCCAAAGAGTAAGATTGAGAGTTCTAGCCAGGCACAAAGCCCAGATAACGTAACCCATCTTGCCAAAGAGCAAGATCGAGAGTTCTAGCTAGGCATAAAACCCAAGGCAGTGGAACTCGTCTTGCCAAGAGTAAGGCTGAGAATTCTAACCAATGGGTACGAACTTGGAAAGTAAGGGGACACCCTTAAAACCTTTTCAAAGTTTCGTAAACAAAAGCAGAAATATTGCTACAAGCAAGATACTATATAGTGCAAGTAACCCTGATCAGGTTGCTAAACTATTTTGAAAATCAGCTAAGGACGAGTTAAAATACCTATCAAGGAGTCATATTTAGTAGCAATGCATATGACATTTATCGCAGATAAAAGAGATTAATCCTCGCAAGTTCAACAAAATATCAAAAAATCAAAAAGTCATTATAAGATAAACCAGCATCCCAGCTCTTCATTCAAACTAATGGTTGTCACCCCTAAACATGTCTTGCACTTCTGCATCAAGTTGTTGTCCAGCGGCTTTAATTTTCGGGTTCATCGAGACGCCCTCCTCAGCCGCCGAATTAGGATTCGCTTCAAAAGGAACAAAAACACCACCCCGAACGTAGCCAAAGCAGTCTAGCTGATCAGTGTTCAGTGTAACCCCGAGGTTGAAATACTTCATCTGATTTATAGCATTATTAAACGCGGAACCAGCAGCCCTTTCCAGTACGGCTTGACTATGATCATAGTCATATTGCAAATCTTGAAGATCGGATTTCAGCTTGTTGATTTCCAAATTCAAAGTTGTGGTCATTGACTCAGTCTCGGCTAATTAGGACAGTTTCTCCTTGAAGTAATTAATGAGAGCCTCTTTGTTAGCATTGAGGCCAAAAGAATCTGATACAAGCTTCAAATCGGCTTGGGACTGCTCCAAAGATGATTTCAAATCAGCAGCAGCATTTGTCAAATTTTGATTCTCTTGAACCATCTTATCACGGTCGGCCTGAAGGGCATCCTTATCAACCTGGAGGGCGTCCTTCTAGCACAAACCTCTGAATACTTCTCCAATAAAAGAGAGTAAGGTTTCACTAACGAGGCCACCTTGTAAGCATACAGCTCGGCCTTTTGCAATTCTTCAACCTCGGCCCTTGAAAGTATGACGGACACGTAAAAAGAAGGTGGAGAGCGTGTAACGCCACGAAGCTCCGGGGCAACCCCGGCCTCCCATAAAGCCCCTCTCCTAAGCCCAGCAGGAAGGGGAGTCGGCGATGGGGTACCTCAGTCAACAGACACGACGACTCGAGTGGTACCTCCGGTGCCCACAGCAGGAGAAGCTTGGTGGCTACTTGGATCCAGCCAATTATCAGTGTCAGTGGTCAAATCCAAAACTGATATGTCAGGGTTGATAGTCGAATTGGAGGTGGTGGCACCTACAGAAGGGCTAATGGTCCTTTGCCTTTTGTTAGCAGGAGGAGGACAAGCTGCAGTCTTTCCTCGCCGAGATAGCACATAGTCAGGTACTTCATCTACAGCAGAGTCCATTTGATAACCTGCAAATCAAGTGAGTACAATTACGAATAGAAAAAGAAATCGGTATTAAAAGAAATGCTTTAAAATTTTTTTTGCAAGGGCATACTAGGTTGGTATTGGATTTAGCAATGAAGGAAGCTGCACTTAAATGGCCCTGCGAGCCGACATGGTCAAGTAGAGTCTTAACATTTTCCTTATCTTCCTTTGATAATCTAAGTTTAAAATCAGCCGGCCTGTGCAGATGATGCTCTCTAGACCAATAAAAGGGGAAGTCTACTTCCCCATCCTCGCCAACGAACCATGGCCTTTCCCTGACCTCAGCAACCACTTTGAAATAGGAACCTTTAAAGCCTTTGAAGGAGTCGCTGTAAACTGAGAACAGTTTCCTTGAGGGTTTGCTAGCACGGCCACGGATACTGGTCCATCCTTTTAGTTGAGGAGGCTCGGAGCCAGTACGAGGGGTATAGATGTTAAAAAAGTAAAGAAAGAGAGGAGTGATGCAAGCTATGGACAAAGAGGCACATAATTGCTCAAAAGTAACGATGTAAGCCCAGCTGTTCGGATGAATTTGAGTAGGAACAAGAAAAAGATAGTTTAGGAATTGTATTTTAAAAGGAGAAAGAGGAAAACAGATGCCAATCTTGGTAATTAAGTCACGGTAGAAGAAGAAAAAAGGTGGCTCTTTGGGATTCTGGCCTGAGCATACTGGCTCATCTTCTGCCGGGCAAAAGGTGTTGAATCCCACTGGATTACCTATGGGAAGCCCGGATATCTCTTCGGTGGGTTAGGTCGGATCTGAAACTCAGAACTTCCTCCGTAACCCAAGGAAACTGTTGGCGAAGAGTACTACTGATAGATGTGGATCCTTTCTCTGCCGGGCTCACCTCAGCCTCCTGCCCTTGGCTAGATAAGGGAATTCCCGTATTTAACTCTGCAGAAGGAGACTCCATAAATACCTAGAACAACAAAATGGGTGGATTAAAAAATAGGAAAAGTACGTAGCAAAGAGGATACGTACCCGAACTAAATAAACTACTACGGGAAGAACTTGAGGAGCTGTCCGATTCAACCATAGGAGCAGGGGTAGATGAGCCGGGATGATGTGAACAGATGCCTAAAACTAGGTTGGCCATGAAATCATTCTTCTTCCCGATAAATTGAGCACTAAGATAAACACAATTGAAGCAAGGATCTGGACTCCTATTACTTGAGCGAACGGGTATTTCTTGATGAGAAATGGGAAGAAGAGCAGGGTTGTAAATTGGAACGGGGGTTGAACGTGAGGGAAAGGAGTTTGGACTCGAGTCATGAACAGGACGTCAGGGTAAAGATTCTAAGCTACAGCGAGGATCTCGGCCTCGCCCTCGGATAGGGGGGGCGAGATGAAGACGCCCATTTACTTCCACCGCCTCGATAACCCCCGAGTAGGGCGGCTTGAGTCTCCTCCTCGGTTCGAGGTCTGCCATACAACCAAAACTTTGGACCAAGAGGCTCTGGATAAACCATTCTTCCTCTTCCGCATATCTCTCTTCCTCCTCGGCATCAATTTCATCACCACGACCAAAGAAGTGAGGGCAGGAGGGCCTCCCTCGAATAGTAAAGTTTCTCTCACCCATACCAGAAGGATTTTCAAACTAAGATATGTTGAGAAATGAACAAGCAGCAGATAATCTCATATAAGCAATACAGTGTAAATAGGCGAAGCTTAGCCAGACAAGCAAGAACAATGTGGCACATTACAGATACAGAGATGATAGAATCAGAATCGTCATAGATATACGCGTGCAACTGAATTCAATGATGTACAGGGGAAATAGTAAAGCAGTAAACAAGATTGAAGCAAAAGAAGCATGCAAAATGATGAAGAAAATGCCAGTAAACGCACCTGAGAAGAATAAGCTTCAGGAAGATTTGAGGATGGTGAGCGAAAAGGAAATGCGATGAGTGATAAGAATGCTGATGAATGATTCTGAAGAGTTGAAATGGTAAGTTAATGAGGAAACTGAAGTTGAAAAGGCTAAACCTGCGAAGCCAAAGGGCAGGGGTATTACGGTAATTTCAGGGTAGACAAGAATGTTGAGGGACGTTTTCACAGTGGGAGTTAATGCCAAAACGGCATAAGAAGAGTAATACCACACGTCGCGCTCGTTCAAAAGAGGCACGTGGAAAGGTAATCATTATATGGAAGGAGAATCGTTTCTCACATAAGAGGAACTGTTGGAAAGAGGAATCGTTTCTGGAAAGCGAACGTCATACCACACTGCAGGTGAGGAACCCCGGAAAGAGTCATGTCCAGGGTGTTCAGAAGAATCTTGGTTATCTTCTCCAGCCAAGCTGAGAAGCTGAGGTAAAAATCACGGCAGAAAGTGATAAGGCCAAGATGGCCAGCATCCGGGGTGGAAATTGGAAACTGTTATGGACATCCAGAGGCTTAACTTGGACATCACGGCATCCTGAACATTCAGTCTACCGGGCTGGGGGAAACTGTTATGGACCTGAATAAGGCCCTCATCCACAAGAAGCCCAAACCATACAAGCCCAAAGGTAAGCACTATAAATAAGAGCTAAAGATCACATATATGATTGATCTCTCTCTAACCCTATTTTATGCAATCACACAGCACACACACACACCCCTTTTGGCTAAGGCCGTGACATAGTGTGTAGTGATTCGCTGACCCCAAGATACCTAGTTCATAGGTATCTAGAGAGAAAACACTAGATCCAACATCAAATATCTAACCTAGGGTTGGACAACTCTGTCTCAGGCAGAACACCTTACTTTTTCGATTGATTAAATTTAATTTTGATAGTATAATATGATAAATACAAAAATAATGCCGCATGTAATTGACTCTCACCAAAGTGATTAAATTTAATTTTGATAGTATAATATGGATGGATGGATGAATTTTACAACCATCAGGCAACCCAATTTTGTATGCAACCGGACCAAGGACCTGAGTCACTGGAAAAGGGCCAAAAAATCTTTTGGCTAGTTTTTGTTTTCTCCTATTTGCCAGAGAAATTTTCCTATAAGGCTTTAGTTTTACCAAAATTAAATCGCCAACAGATAATGCCATATCTTTCCTATGTTTATCAGCAAACACCTTCATACGATTTTG